GAGGCCTCAAAATTTTAAGGATTTCCATTTCCTCCATCTTTTAAAGTGTCTTTGGCCTCCTAAATTAGATGGGACACACATCTTCCCTAGAATTTATAAGCCGGAATTTACCCGTCTACTTGAGTTAATTGTTCCTCACCGGGTTTTGAAAAAAAATCTCTTCAACAGATCTGTCTACACAGTTGCTCCTCGCTTCGCACTTCAGCTAATCTTCTGAGCAATACTCCTCACCCGCGCGCCTCCACCACCTCTTGATAATCGACTGTATTAGTCTGCTAAATTAGACAAAGGCAACTGACGTGTACCCTACTTAAGTATAGCATGGCTTATTGGTTACGATACCGAGTGAGAACTAAATAGTATGCAAAAAGATAAGATAAAAAGGTTCTTTTAAATGTCTTACTAATCCCCCGAGTACCCCACCCCCCCCCCCCCCGCCCCCAACCCCCCCCACACCACCCGCCCACCCCCACCCCCCCCGCGCTACCATCCTCCGCCCCACAGGACTTTCTGAGTCCAACGTTCTTTAGCACCGAAATGTTTGCCCAACCGAGTGGCGTTGACCCGCGCCGCGCGTGGCTCACCTTTAAATCCCCACCGACTTTGGGAAGCCGAGAGGGGGGCAATCACCGCCCCGTCATGCAGATCTTGGAGAAAAGCCAGCGCAACCACGTGTGAACAACCTCCTGTCTCTACCTCCAACCAACTGGCAAAAAATGAGGCAGTCCCTCTGGCCTGGCAGGCTTCTGTAATCCCCCAGTTACTCCGGACAGCTCTAACCGCACGCGAGAGGCCGCTGAACCCGCGAGGCCCCCGGCCAGCTTGCAGAGCCGAGATCCGGCGCTACTGCACTCCAGCCTGGGCGAGAAAGCAAAGCTCTCCTAAAAAAAAAAACAAAGGAAATGCTCACCATTATATATCAATGCCTGCTTGCTCTCGTGCTGCGCTGTCTCACCGCTAGTGCTCCCTGTATATATCCCTAAACGGCTGACCTGCTGTTGGTCTCATCCTGGTAAACAGGTGCTGTACGCTTCTTGCATCGGTCAGAAAGATGTATCAGGCTTTCACACCAGGCACGTGGCTCCACCTGTAATGCCCAAGCATTTTGGGAGGCCTGAAGCGGGCGGATCACGAGGTCAGGAGATCGAGACCATCCTGGCTAACATGGTGAAACCCCGTCTCTACTAAAAATATAAAAAGAAAAATTAGCTGGACTTGGTGGTCCAGGGCTATAGTCCCAACTACTCGGGAGGCTGAGGCAGGAGAATCGCTTAAACCGGGCAGGCGGAAGTTGCAGTGAGATGAGATCGTGCCACTGCACTTTAGCCTAGTGAAAGAGCCAGATAGCGGTTCAAAGAAAAAGAATATATATATACACACATATATGTATACACACATATATATATACGGAGAGAGAGAGAGACCAGGCGTTCTCTTGGTTTTAAGATTCTCTTGTCTTTTTTTTTTCCCCCCCAGTTTCACTCTTGTCCCCCAGGCTGGAATGCAGTGGTGCGACTTCGGCTCACTGCAACTTCCACCTCCCGGGTTCAAGCGATTCTCCTGCCATAGCCTCCTGAGTAACTGGGATTACAGGCATGCACCACCACGCCCGGCTAATTTTGTATTTTTAGTAGAGACAGGGTTTCTCCATGTTGGTCATGTCTGGTCTCCAACTCCCGACCTCAGGTGATACGCCCACCTTGGCCTCCCAAAGTGCTGGGATTACAGGCGTGAGTCACCGCGTCTGGCCAAGATTCTCTCGTCTTTAGCATAGTGTCTCGGTCTCTCACTTGCCCTGGATTAATTGCTCGATCCGAATAACTGGTTTCTCTGCATGTTTCTCAGTCTCTAAGCAGTCACTCAACTCTGACACGTCTGCTTCCTCTTTAATCAGTATCCTTGACATTCTCCCTCATTTTTGACAATGTACTCATCCTGATTATACAAATGATTACAAATCTCTATCTGGGATATTTGACTCTATAGTTTTAATCTCACAGCACTGATCATCCAGTACCTATAGTATATTCAAGTTATAAGTTCCACGGAGGTAAAAATCCTCTAAGTTGCAACTGTATAAAGGCATTAAAGCATGACACTCTAAAGGCATTAAAGAATCAATAAAATAATGTTACTTCTGGTAATAATATAGCTGCAGAAATCAGGATTCTGCATTTCTTTTCTCAAAAATAATTGAAACTCAATAGGAAAAAGTTTTTAATAATCATGCAGAACTCCAATTTTTGGCAAATTGGAAGACATTTACAATCTATAGCTTTCAAATTGATGAAAGAGATCACAAAAGCTATATGGGATAAAGCAAAAATTAAAAACTGTAGAGAGGAATATAAGCAAAGAGGGTGGCTTATAATAACAAATCTCAAAATTTTCTGGCAAAAGATACACTTCCTGAAGAGGAGGGATAGGCCCAGAAATGCAAAAAAGCAAAAAATCTATCATATTATTTCTGCTATAGGTGCATGAATTGGGGTAAGATAGGCTGGCAACAACAGCATTACTGGCCCCAGTCTGGTTCCACGAATAGAGGAAGCAATAATATACAAATAATGACACAGACACTGCACATGTTCTAAAGGCATTTTTCTGTGGTATTTGAGTAGAAAGGAGACTTTATGTTGTGAAAGCCAGAAAACTTATATATCGATTCCCACTGTTCTCCAGTACAAAAATCTCTTGCACATAGTTTAAGAAATACAAAATCATTCAACAATAGATACTGAAAACTAGCAAGACATTAAAGGAGGAAGAAAGTAAAGTATAGGCAACAAAGAGAAGAATACTCAACAGGAAAAAGTGATACAGAGAAAGTAAAATCATAGCAAATATTTTAGCAAGCATTTTAAAATATTTTATAAAGCAAACTCCACTGTGAAGGAAGACACAAAGCAGAAAGACAGAACTCAAAGAATAGACAGCAAAACAATAAAAGAAAATAAATTGCAAACTGGCAGGATTTGGAAAGGAATTAGAAGAAAAAACGCTGTCACTGATTATGACAGAATTCAGTACAGTACAAGGGGTTTATGCTTCTGTCATGATAGGGTGAATGGAGCAAGACTTAACTGTGCACTATAACCAACTAGAAAACTACAAAAAAATGCAAATAAAGGGTTTCCAGACATCCTGCAAGTACTATATGATTATAGTCAGTAAGAGAAGAAGAAAAAATTAGGTGAGTCTTATAATCAAACTGCATTTCTCCACAGAAGAACTTTCTGAATCACATTGTCAGGAGGTAGATTCCAAGCAGAACTAGGTGGTCACGCTGAGTTGTGTAGACAGAGATCAGAGTGCTTACAGTTTTCGAGGCTGAGATTTTGTATGGAAGAGTACAGGAAAGGAGAGAACACATAAATAAGTAAATCAGGAAATCTTTACAATCATCTCTGAGTCACCTGTTAAACACTAAGTCATGCATATATAGGCCAAGGCAAAAAGGAAGCTGTGTGTCAAACAATTTCAGCTTTATGCAGGTCTGGGAAAAGTTCAAGTTCCCAGAAGCCAGAGTATAGATTATTCACTGAATACTCAGAACTTTCTGTAGAAATACCAAGAGGACTATAGTAACATACGGTAAAGATTGTTCTTTAACCTCAGAGAAAGGCTAGAATGGACAAAACTGGACTGGAAGTAACGTAACTGCCTGCCAGAACAAAGTGCAACATATTTTGAAGGAAGACAAAAAATATGACACTCAACAGCATGAAATTCGTAATGTCCAGGATTCAATCAACTACTGTTATAGACGTGGAAAAGAAAGAAAATTAAATCCACACCTTGGAGAAAAATCAGTCACTACAAATAGATTACAAATGACAGAAATGAGGAAATTAGCAGACACCAACTTTTAAAAAAAACTACCAAAAAACCGCTCAAGCATTTAAAGAGTAACATGAACACAATGAAGAAAAACATAGAACGTGGGATAAAAAGTGTCAAACTTCTAGAGAAATAAATGTATTAAAGAATAAATTCACTGGATGAGATTAACAATAGATTAGACATGATAGGAAAAATATCAATGAACTTGAAGACAGTGGTAGAAACTATCGTAAATACAGACCAGAAAGAAAAAAGTCTAAAAAAGAATAAATACTGAAGTCCCAATGACTTGGGAAATGATATTAA